TTCCTTCAACACTTGTTCTGGTTACATGGGAAGCAAGAACATTCTCACTGAATACGATGGCAACAGGTCAGGTAATGCACAGACCGTGCTGAGCCCCGAGTTAAATCAGGAACATAGCCTCAGTTTCCTCATCTCTAAAATATGCACAAAAATATGTTTATAATTTTTGATAAATCACATGGCATAACATATAAACTGCTTATCATGGAGGAAGTGTTCAGCACATTATGGCCATTACTGTTGTTAATAAAAAATGTCATCACTCTGGCCAGGTGCTCAGTTTGTTGGAGCATCAACTCATACACCAAAAGGTGGAAGACACAGCTTTCACATTTCACTATAAATACTCTAGGTCCATGGTCAGCAAACTGGGGAGGGACCCCCCCACTTATTTTTTTGGTTGATTTTTCTTTGTTAAATGGCATTTAAATATATAAAATAAATATCAAAAATATAAATCTTTGTTTTACTATGGTTGTAAATATCAAAAAATTTCTATATGTGACACGGCACCAGAGTTAAGTTAGGGTTTTTCAAAATGCTGACACGCGCGTCATAGGTTCGCCATCACTGGCCTAGGTCATTGTTTCTCAAACTTAAGAGGGCATAAGCATCACATAGAGGACCGCACCCCAGAACCCATCCCAGAGTTTCTGATCCAGTCAGTCTGTGGTGAGATTGGCATTTTAACAATTCACTGGTGCTCTGCTCAGGGAACCATATTTTGAGAAATACTACTCTAACTTAAGAATTTGCCATTAGATTGTAAGATGATTCCTTATAAATTACCTTTCGATTTTTTTTAGTTTCAGAACAGAGTCATGGTATTCAAAATTTTAATCAGCTAAATTGAAATTTAAAAAATGTTAATAAAGTGCAAGTAATGCAAAACCAAAAGCTATGTTTTAAATTAATAGAGGCACAGAGCCACAGTTTGGCCAAACAACAAACTTCATCTGTCAATTATCTAAACCAGTGGTTCTCAACCTTCCTAATACCGCGACCCTTTAATACAGTTCCTCATGTTGTGGTGACCCCCAATTTCATTGTTACAAATTGAACATAATTAAAGCATAGTGATTAATCACAAAAACAATATGTAATTATATAGGTCTTTTCCGATGGTCTTATGCGACCCTTGTGAAAGGGTCATTCAAATTCCAAAGGGGCCGTGACTCACAGGTTTAGATTCTAAACAGAAATTTTTAAAAAATTGTTTAATATCATATCACAGAACCTAGTATGAATTTTTGACCATCACTGTTTATCTGGAATTTTATTTAGCCAGAATAAATAATTTAAAAATTGCAATATGATTATTGTAAAATAAAAACTGATAATATCTTGGTACTGTGTCCATTGCAATTTAGATTGGTCAGTTTTACATTTTTATATTATATTTAGTTTAAGCTACACATTGAAGTATATTTCATTTGTTATAGTGTTTTTCATTAATCTCCCCATCTTTTTTCACTGCTTATCCCAGCCCAGACTTTATGTTTTATTGTTAACTGACAGTCATGCATAGTGAAGATAATATATTTTTTATAGAAGTGTACATTTGCAATATAAAGCCAACAGATTTTGTCATTATCCAATAGGGAAATCATACTGAACTGTCAGTCATACAGTAGGAGAGATTACATTATCAAAGTGATACACTTGTGACAAACCAAACTCTTCAAACCAAACTCAAAAGAGACCAATTAACAGATAGTCTGGTTTTACTCTAACTTGGAAATCCTCCCATTCCTGCACAGATATGAAATTAGTGACTTACAGGTTTTTCACTTTTGTAATAACTATTATCTATTCAATCAACAAAATATATATGAAACTTTTAATTCAACTAACCTGAAAGTAATTGTATTGTTATTTATTGATAGTCATATCCAATATTTATACTATTTCTTTACTATCACCATAACATACTTTTGGGGAGTCATATTGAAAGACAGGCTAAAAGTCAATTCAGATGTTTCCCTTCGTATTCTTATAATGAAGAAATGCATTTTAAAATTTTTGTGTATGTTGAAACATAAATATATTTACAAAGAAAAAATAACTAAGTTCAGAATGCTGAGAGAAGACATGTTTCTATTACTAATACAATCTATTTACCAGAAGATAGTTACAATATCTTTAAAATTATTGCTACAATATTAAAATAGTTTCACACAATTCCTTCGTGGGAAATAATGTAAGAATAGATTAACTATTATATGGATGAATATTAATATTTAAAATAAAAATATTATAGAAAACATGTTTAATGAGCTATACATTATATATGAAGAATATAATATTAAGCATTCAATGAGTAAGTATTGTCTACAAATACATGTCAAGCATTTTTTTCCATTAAAAGGTAATATAAAGTCAAAGATTTGTTTTCTAAAGTACAAAATATGTGCTGACAATTCATTCCAAGAACAGAGTATACAGAATGTTGTACATCAAAACAGACTCACCCTGCACTTGGCACAACAAATTCAAGTGCAATAGCTACATCTATTTCAAAACAAACTTATCTTCACTATCCTATCTTTTGTTCTTTTCAATAATTCCAAGAGACTTGCCTCTTGTACCTCATATTCTCAGCCATAAGCCACTAATCCTATTTATCCTTTAAGATCAAGACCAGGCAAGTCTGCCTACCCCAGAAGCCTTTTCAAACAAAACCCGGTATGAAATGTTATTATCATGCTCTGAACTCCTGCAGCCCTCATTAGACATGCACTCTCTTATTGCCACGAGTTGTTAACTCTGTCCAAGCATGAGCTTCAGATTCCTCCCAAATGGGGAGTAAGCTCCTGCAGGGCAGGGAGCTAGGAAGTCATGTTCCCCACAATCCTTCAATAGCGCCTTGCACATGATAGGCCGTCTATTTTGAGTGCTATGTTGAATAATAAAATGCAATCATGAGTATTATATACAAAACATAATACATTTTCATTTTCTACTTCATGAATTTGATGTAAATTTACATCCTACAGCATAAATAATGCATCAATAAAATAAATAGTTGCCGATTCTCTGAGTGTCAAAAAACAAAATATATCCATAAATATAACTTTTTGATAATTGTACAATACAGTTTATCAAGTACATTGTAAAATTCCCCGTGATTTCTTCTACATTGCAATGATTCAGGAAAGTTAATGTAACAACACTCAGTGGGACTCTACGCCTGCATCCGAAGGTAATATATAAAACCGCACATGTTCCATGTTGAAAATGCATTTCAAACCAATATGAACATAACCGAATCAAAATAACAAATCCTTAACTCTGCTCTGCCTTCAAAATGAACAGGACTGGTAAGGAACTGGTAAGCTACTTTCACACTGGGAAAAAGAAAAAACTAAAACTGGCATGTTTTGATTAAAATAAGATGCTCTCTAATTAATATCAAAGATAGACAAATCACTCTGACAATAGATTGACCAGTTTACTTCTCTTTCTTCTCAATGAAATTATTGAAGGGGTAGTTGCAACATGGAACTTCAGTGTTATAGAGACTGTGCTTGGCCGGCAGGCCTTTGAGATATACCAATTTAAAATAATAATGACCCTGTCCTTCCACCTCAGTCACAACCCAGTCATCGACTCTGTAAAAGCAGAGGCTGCTAACTTTTAGGAACAAACAGAAATTTGTGGAAGCTTAGTTGGTAGACACTGTCCCAAGTCATATCTGAGCTTTAAGTTATGTCTCTGGAATTTGTACTTACTAGAAAGCAAATAGAAAGAGAAACAGAAACAAACTGTGGTAGCCTAAGTTAGTAGAATTTTAGATCGTCTCTTAAAAGCTGGCTTTGAGTCAATAGTAATCAATATAAATTCAGCTAGGTGTCTGCTTCACTTTCCTCCTAACATTTTTAATAAAAACATCTTTACAGTAAAATGTGTGTACATCATTTTAATAGCCCTTCTTAGGTGCAGGCGCGGACGGCATGTGTTACATTTCAGTGGGAAGGTATTCAACTGTAAAGATATTAGAAATGAAGCTGTTGAAATCAAGTAGGTACTTTGTCTTGTGGTCCTATTGATGGCCTGAAGAGTTAAGAGGAGTAGAGAATGAGTACAAAAACATGAAAGGGCACGAGATTTTCTAAGCAGCATTTTTTTTCCACCTGTTAAAAAAAAACAACACACACACACAAGTGATTCACTTCGTATTCCAGGTCCCACGAGAGAAGGTGGAAAAGCAAAATTGCTGCTAATTCTGAGAAAAATGAGGGAAGAGATGGGAGATGGGGAGAGCGTAAAGCGCCAGATACATTGAAAGAAACCCCGAGAAATTTCACAACTCTTTACCATAAATAGCCTTTCTGCTCACTCGGGATACCTCCTCCCTGACATCAGCACGGCTCAGCCCCGCGCGCAGCGAGCACCATTCACAAATCCCTCCGGCAGCCCTCCGCGCACCCTGCCCCAGGCGGACCGCGCGGGGTCCCAGGAAACAAGCCCCCAAAACATGCGGGCCCAAGGGGCCACCTGCGGTTTCGGCCCAGAACTGATTTCATTTTCCGGTGAAACAACGCATAGACTAGTCAGCAGCGCGAACGAACACACACACACACACACACACACACACACACACGCCTCCCGAGCCCTGGACGCGCCACCACAAAGCAATTTGTTGCCACTAAGTCGCTGCTGTTCCTGCGCCGCTGGGGAGGGTCTCGCCTCCAA